AAAAAAAAAAAAGAAAAGAAAAGAAAAAGAAAACTGGTGGCACTGAAACCTACCACTATCAGGTTTTCACATCAGTATTTGGAAATATTGTTCAGCCCATTTATCAGGTGGGGATACCGAGGCTCAGAAAAGTTTAGTACCTTTCTAGAGATTATTTCACATTTTTTGCTCTCTCAGACTGCCTGTCTTACTGTGTCACTGTTTACCTTGATCTCCACCTTTATCCTCCTTGCTTCCCAAGGGAATATTTCTCTCTTCTGAATTATCAGGCACTAAATTTTGTAACTCTTAGTCTCCCTCAGCCTGTTTCTTCCTTTAAAAAAATGGGGGAAATAGGCCAGACAGAGTGGCTCATGCCTAATCTAGCACTCTGAGAGGCCAAGGGGGTGGATTGCTTGTGGTCAGCAGTTTGATACCAGCATGAGCAAGAGTGAGACCCTCATCTCTACAAAAAAAATAGAAAACTTCGCTGGGCGTGGTGGCAGGCACCTGTAGCCCCAGCTACTTGGGAGGCTGAGGCAAGAGAATCACTTAAGCCAAGGAGTTTGAGGTTTTAATGAGCTATAATGTCACCACTGCACTCTATCTAGCCAGGGCCATGGAGCAAGAAGACCCTGTCTCTAAAAGAAAAAATAATGGAGAAAGTAATTCCTATATCACAGGGCCAAGGCCGAGATGAAATTGTGTCTGTGCAAATGCTCTGCAACCTTCAGAATGCTGTGCCAAAGTAAGAGAGGTTGTTTTTTATTTTCCTGCCAAAGAATAGGAGAAACTACATCTTGTCTGAATTCTGTCTCTGGGCTTGACCCAGGTTAGAGGAATTCCTGCCTCTCCCATGGATCATGAGTTTCTGGATGCCTAGTTTCTCTTCCCACCAAGTGAGTTTAAGCCCTGAAGGAGGATTTCTTGGGACCAGGGTACAATAGATGTTTGGTGTTGAGCATGGAACTGAAACTTTTTGTATGGTCAGAGTCCTGTGTCCACGTGTGCAGATTTGCACTGGACCAGGTATGGGTGTAGGTCGACATGGATGAGGGGGCCATGTTGTGGGACTTTGTGTACGTAAGTGGTATACTAGTTCATTCACACTCATCTGTATATGACAAGCAGGCTGTGTGTGTGTCCCATTTTCATGGGACCAGAAAGCTGTATTTGTGACCATGTATGTGCATGTGTATTGATGAGCTTGCTTACTGGACACTACTTGGTGCCTGGCATTGTGTGAGGCTCTGAACAAGAGCCCATTAGATCTCTCTGTGGTGAAGCCAACTTTGCATATGCTTTTCCTGCCCTTTGGTGTGAGAGAGAGTTCATGGACATTGCAGGTCTTTTAGGGCAATAGACAAACTGAAGGGGTTGTCAAAGTTGGACCATGGACCATGCAGTAAATGGACCAAGCAAATTGCCCCAGGGTGCTAACAAGAGGAGGAAACCCTCCTCCAAAAAAGAGGAAAACCCTTTCTTGGAGGGTGGGAGAGTTGATGTTTGATATTTCTTTCTTTATTTTTATTTTATTTTATTTTTTTGAGACTCATTTGGTCATCCTTGGTCATGGCATCTTAGCTCACAGCAACCTCAAACTCTTGGGTTCATGTGATTTCCTTGCCTCCCACGTAGCTGGGACTATAGGCACCACCACAGCGCCCCACTATTTTTGTTTTTTTTTTAGAGATGAGGTCTTTCTGTTGTTCAGGTTGGTCTGGAACTTGTGAGCTCAGGCAATCCACCTGCCTCAGCCTCCCAAGTGTTGGGATTACAGGCATGAGCTATCGCACCTGGCCAATGTTTGATTGTTTTTTTTTTTTTCCTTTTTTTCTTTTATTTATTTATTTATGTTTGATGTTTCTTAAAAGAATAAAGTAGTTGTCATGGGAAAATTAGACTTTTTTTAGGCTTTATCTTTTTTTTTGAGACAGAGTCTCACTTTGTCACCCTTGATAGAGTGTCAAGGTGTCACAGCTCACAGCAACCTCAAACTCTTGGGCTTAAGCTGTTCCCTTGTCTCAGCCTCCCAAGTAGCTAGGACTACAGGCACCTGCCACAATACCTGGCTATTTTAGAGATGGGGGTCTTGCTCTTGCTCAGGCTGGTCTAGAACCATGAGCCCAGGCAATCCACCCTCCTCAGCCTCCCAGAGTACTAGGATTACAGGTGTGAGCCACCGCACCTGGCCAGTATCTTAATTTTTCTGAAGGTAATTCATACCCAGCATACAACATTCAAAAAATGTGGAAGCTGGGGCATGGTGGCTTATACCTACAAGCCCAACAGTCTGGAAGGATCACTTAACCTCAGGAGTTGGAGACCAGCATGAGCAAGACTGAGAACTCATCTGTACTAAAAATAGAAAAATTAGCTGGGCATTGTGGTGGGTACCTGTAGTCCCAGCTTATGGGGAGGCTGAGGCAAAAGGATCACTTGAGCCTAAGAATTTGAGGTTGCTATGAGCTACAATGCCATGCCACTCTACTCAGGGTGACAGAGTGAGACTCTGTCACAAAAAAAAAAAAAGAAAGAAAGAAAGAAAGAAAGAAAAGAAAAGAAAAAGAAATAAAATATAAAAAAATAGAAAAATTAGCTAGGCATTATGGTGGGCACTTGTAGTTTCAGCTAGTCAAGAGTCTGAGGCAGGAGTATCACTTGAGCCCAGGAGTTTGATGTTACTGTGAGATAGGCTGATGCCCTAGCACTCTAGCTTGGGAAACAGAGTGAGACTCTGTCTCAAAAAAAGGAAAAAAGAAAATGGCTCTGCACCTGTGGCTCAAGTGGCTAAGGCGCCAGCCACATACAGCTGAGCTGGTGGGTTCAAATCCAACCCGGGGGCCCGCCAAATAACAATGACGGCTGCAACCTAAAAATAGCTGAGTGTTGTAGCCGGCGACTGTAGTCCCAGCTACTTGGGAGGCAAAGGCAGGAGAATCACTTGAGCCTAGGAGCTGGACATTGCTGTGAGCTGTGATGCCATGGCACTCTACCCAGGGCTACAGCTTGAGGCTCTGTCTTAAAAAAAAAAAAGTGGCAATGCCTGTGGCTCAAAGGAGTAGGGTGCTGGCCCCATATGCCGGAGGTGATGGGTACAAACCCAACCCTGGCCAAAAACTGCAAAAAAAAAAAAAAAAGTAAGTGCTCCTTTTACCCCAGTCTCCCAGCCACCCTGTTTTTCCCTCTAGGGGACATCATCATTATGAATTTCTATGTGTCCTCTTGAACTTCTTTCCTTGGATTGGTGGTGCTGGCATTTGTATTTGGAATTATAGATGGGGAGCATCGTATGCTTTTAGTATGCAGGTCCTCTAAAAGTTAGCCCTAAGAGTATCAGCCATGAAAAGGACCTTGGCCCCCATCTTCTATCCACCAGGAGACAGGCCCCCTGGTCAGATATCTCTGGGACAGGGCAGAGTCCAGAGACAAGAAGTAGAAAGGGCCTGAGTTTGACAGGGCTGTACAGGGGTCATTTTATCCAGCCTTCTGCCGCAGCAGGCATGTATGTTGGTTATGGGAGGGTTCCCTTCCTTCTGCGAGGTCTTAACTATTAGGGAGTATCCCCCTCCCACAGCAGCCCCTTTGGACAAGGAGACGCCCCACCTCTATTCTTTGAAGCCTAGAGCCTTGACGTATAGTAGTTAAAATCATTGGTTTTGGGTTTGAAACCTGGCACTACCACTTACTAACTTGATGACCTTGGCAATTCCTTAAATTCCCTGGGTCTTGAGTTCTTTGTAAAGTGGGGATAAAGTTAATAATAATAGGGCTGGGCTGGGCACCTGTAGCTCAAGCTAAGGCACCAGCCACGTACACCAGAGCTGGTGGGTTCGAATCCAGCCTGGGCCTGCCAAATAATGACAACTATAACAACAACAACAACAAAAATAGCTGGGCGTTGTGGCAGGCAGGCATCTGTAGTCCCAGCTACTTGGGAGGCTGAGGCAAGAGAATTGCTTAAGCCCAGGGATTGGAGGTTGCTGTGAGCTGTGATGCCACAGCACTCTACCCAGGGCGACAGCTGAGACTCTGTCTCAAAAATATATATATATAATAATAATAATAGTAAGGCTGTAGTGAAGATGAAATCAGACAAGGCATATAAAAGACATTACAGCACAGTGCCTAGCATACGGTAAGACTCCATTAAATGATAGGTGTCACCCATCTTCATTGTTATTAGCATTTTATTAGCCAGGGAAGGCTGTGCAGAAGCAGCTGATGCAGGTGGAAGAGATGGCCTGAGACTGTGTGTGTTCATGTGCATGCTGCATGATCTTGGCCCAGAAGCTGCAAGGCACACATGTATCCTTATTTCATGTGTTGTTACGTATGTGCAGGGCCATGTTCCTGAGCCTTTGATTGTAGACATGTGGGAAACGGGGCCCCATCCCCACCCCCACTGCCACCCTGTCACCCAGCTCTGCTTCTCTTCCCTTGCTCTGCTCTAAAACGAGAAGTACAAGTGAGTTCCCCCAAGGGGTCGGCCGCGCCCCTTCCTGTCCCCGCCCTGCCGGCTGCCCCAGGCCAGTGGAGTGGCAGCACCAGAACCAGGACCGCCAGGGGTGGCAAGGTGGCCTGGCACCTACAGTTGGGTCTGAGGCTTAGCTCCAGCGTCCTTCCTGCCCAGACTAGGCTGCGCCACCTCATTCTCTACACCTCTTACCTCTCCGGGAGTCCCCAGGATGGTGAGGTAAGGGCCTGGGATTCCGGTAGGCAGGAGGCAAGAGTGTCCTCAGGCCCATGGGACCTCACCTCACTGCCCTGCCTGGACCTTCTAGGTGGTTTCACCGAGACCTCAGTGGGCTGGATGCCGAGACCCTTCTCAAGGGCCGGGGTGTCCATGGAAGTTTCCTGGCTCGGCCCAGTCGCAAGAACCAGGGTGACTTCTCTCTTTCTGTCAGGTAGGTGCCGTCCAGCACTCTGGCGGCTCCACTGTGTGGGGCCAAGCCCTGGACCCAAGTTCCAGATCTCCCTAGGGCAGGGCCAACTCCCTAGTGCCCAGCCTTGGCTGTGTCCATGCCCTCAGCCCCAGCATGACCCCCCATCTGTGTGTGTGTGTCCCACACTCGGGACCCTCACTCTGTCTTCACCCAACCTGCCTCAGCTCCTGATATTCCACAGGGTGGGGGATCAGGTGACCCATATTAGGATCCAGAATTCTGGGGATTTCTATGACCTGTATGGAGGAGAGAAGTTCGCGACGTTGACAGAGCTGGTGGAGTACTACACGCAGCAGCAGGGCGTTCTGCAGGACCGCGACGGCACCATCATCCATCTCAAGTACCCGCTGAACTGTTCAGACCCCACCAGTGAGAGGTGAGGGGCTTTGCACCCCAGCCCACTCCTGCACAGGGGCAGGCTGCTTCCTCTGCACTGTTACCACGGCATTGCCTGTGTCCAACCCTTCCCCATCCCTGCTCCACCTCAGGGCTTTCAGTGCCTCTCCTCCATGTCACACTGTGGCCTGGTATCTCAGAGGATATCCACCACCCTCTCCATCCAGCCCCTGAGGAAGCCATGGTTTACTCTAGGGTCACTGTCCACTGGCAACACTGGTTGTGCTAGTGACAGAGAGGCCACCACTCCCAGCTGGCATCTTATAGGTCAGATCTATTGTTAGAAAGCACTTCCTTCTATGGAACTAAACCTGCTTTCCTATAGCCACCCCTACCCGCCACCTGTGGGTTAACATGGGGCGGGGGGGCGAGTGTTAGTGTTGAGGGGATCATAGGGATTAATGCTTGTTAGTATGCCTGACACTTTATCTCCACAACTGGGTGAGGATGAGCCCATGCTCTGGGGCTGGATAGAGCTTGGCAGGTTCCTTGGCCTAAGGATAGATAATTGAAAACAGGGTATAATGTGGTCATACATGTAAAGGGCTTAGTACTATCCTGGGGATTGGGTACTACAAGGCATTCCCTCCTCTCTCCTTCACTGCCAAAATGTGGTCCCTGGAACTGTGCTAGCTATTCTCCATGTGGTCTCTCCAAAGGTTGGTTGGGGGTAGAGGATCTGAATGCTCGTCCCTGCACAGTGGCTTATTTCAGTAGCTATATCCCAATGACAGATCCTATTAAATTCAGGGGCAGTTGAATAATCCTGAATTTTGTTTTTCACATGGTCTCCTGGGGCCAAACTAACTTGCCCTTGTGCTATATTTGTGGATGGATTGTTGAAATGGTTCTGAACCTTAGTTCTGTCTGCTTTCATCTTTCTGAGATTCAGGCCTCCACACTTGCACCCATGGTTTTGTTCAAGTCACTGATTAGAACTCATCAGGACTGGGTAGTGCTGAGGTAGAAGCCCTGTGGGCCACCATGGAGACTCTATCTAGTCAGCACAAAGCCATTGATCTGCTTCCTTGAGGCCTTTTTCTTCAGGATGGGTAGTTCTGCTCACAGTTGCCCCCTCAATACTCCCTCTGGCCAGTCCCCGACAAACTCAGAACACTTAAAGAGGGAGTTTGCCACTGAGACCCTCTTTAACGCCTCATGTCCTCTCTCCTTGCCCCAAGCCAGGGTCAGCCCTGCTAGAGGAGGATGGATTGACCATGCATGGAAGACGGGAGGGCCCCAGTGGGTCCTCTAGAGAGGAGACCAAGAGGTTCAAGAGTCTGGGAGAAAGCGGCGCCTGTGGCTCAGTGGGTAGGGCGCCAGCCCCTGAGGGTGGCAGGTTTGAACCTGGCCCCAGCCAGCTAAAATAGCAATTACAACTGCAACAACAACAATAAAAAAATAGTCTGGGAGAAGCTATGGAAGGAGAGAAGGCAGCACTGGGAGGGGATAGAGACCAGGGTAGCCACTCTAGAGGCCCTTCTAGGTGACCCATGCTGAGAAACCCGCCTCACCCCTGACCCTGGGAGTGTGTGGGAAGCTCTATATCCAGACAAAATGTTCGTGCCTGTGGCCTCTGTGTCTCTTCTTCTACAGGAATTTGCATTTGTCCCCTCAATGGCTCCCTCTCCTCTTGTGGTCAGCTTGACATTTGCATGGAGACTTCCTCATCCTGGGGCCTGAGGATAGGGGCTCAGCCCCCTCCCCATTGCTTGAGGGCCCTGGCCTGTCCCTGGGTGGTAGATGGAGTGGCCCAGGGGTTCCTCGGGGGAGGAGGGTCTGGAGATCTTAGCTGGAGTCTCCTCCAGGAAGGGGTGAGATGGTCAGAACAGACTGGCCCCCTCCTTCCTTCCCCCATCCCTGCGGTTGGAAAATGCCCCCCTTCCCCTGGTCCCTGGGCTGAGGAAACCTCACAACCTCACTTCTCACTCTCTCCCCAGAAGGAGTTTTGTGTTTTTTCCATCACGTGGTTTCCTGTGGGGCTGGGCATTGTGGGGCTACAGTTTCCTCCTGGGAAGGGGGTGTGTTTCGGGGAAAGGTCTTAGTTCTGCTTTCTGTCCCGACAGCCCCTTTGAGCTTCTTTGAGCCCCTTTGAGCCCCTTTGAACTCCGGCCTCCCCCTCAGTGACATCATCCAGGGTACCCTGGAACCCCCTGAACCACTTTTTCCCCATTGGGGTTGCCTGTCTTCCCTGCCTCTCTGGGGAGTTCTCCCCGGTGTTCCCTGGGGCTTCCCTCGCTCCCCATCTCTCATAGCTGTATAAGATTTTGGCCTTTGGTCTTTCATGGGACATTTTGGATATTGCAGGCCTTTTTGCCTTTCAAAGGTGGGCTCTGGGCTCGGTTCCTATAGCTCAACCGGCTAAGGCGCCAGCCATGTACACCTAATGTGGCGGGTTCGAATCCCCTGCCCAGACCCGCCAAACAACAATGATGGCTGCAACCAAAAAATAGCCGGGCGTTGTGGCGGGCGCCTGTGGTCCCAGCTACTTGGGAGGCGGAGGCAAGAGACTCGCTTGAGCCCAGGAGTTGGAGGTTGCTGTGAGCTGTAATGCCACGGCACTCTTGAGGCTCTGTCTCAAAAAAAAAAAAAAAACAAAAAAACAAAGGTGGGCTCTGGGTTTAAAGCCTGGTTACAACGCCTGAGGCTTGCCTCTGACCAGTGAAGGGCCTTGGGCCAGCATGCAATTGCTCAGTCTTGGTTTTCTTATCTTCAAAGTGGGGATAATACCCACCTCTCAGCAGTTCTCTGAGAGAGTAATGAACCTACAGGGGTGGTAGATCTGAAAGCATCTGGCACAGTGCCTGACACAGCAGCTACTCGATTTCCCTCCTCCTCTGCTCAGTGCTTTCCCCTGTGGCCGAGGTCTCACTATCTCTGGTGTTGCTTTCTCTAGGTGGTACCATGGCCATATGTCTGGGGGGCAGGCAGAAACACTGCTGCAGGCCAAGGGTGAGCCCTGGACATTTCTTGTGCGTGAAAGTCTCAGCCAGCCAGGAGATTTTGTGCTGTCTGTCCTCAACGACCAGCCTAAGGCTGGCCCAGGATCCCCTCTCAGGGTCACCCACATCAAGGTTATGTGTGAGGTAAGGCAGCCGGGTGGTGTGGGAAGCATTTGTCTGGGACTCCTGTCTGTGTTCAGCGCATGGGTGGTGGGAGGGTTAGCCTGGGCTTGGATTCAAGGCTGAAGGGCCAGGGAGGAAGGCTCAGGCCTTGTGCAATGGCCTTTCTTGGCACCCCTCAGGGTGGACGCTACACAGTGGGCGGTTCAGAGACCTTTGACAGCCTCACGGACTTGGTGGAGCATTTCAAGAAGACGGGGATTGAGGAGGCCTCAGGTGCCTTTGTCTATCTGCGGCAGGTAAGGAGGGTGGGCCTGGCTGCCTCCTTCCTCCTGAGCCAACCCCAGATGTGAGCTTCTAAGGTCTTTAAGCTGCTTACTTCTGGCCTTCCCCCACGCCAGCCATACTACGCCACGCGGGTGAATGCAGCTGACATTGAGAACCGGGTCTTGGAACTGAACAAGAAGAAGGAGTCTGAGGACACAGCCAAGGCTGGCTTCTGGGAGGAGTTTGAGGTGAGCAGTGGGAACCAGCTGGGCTGGGACAGCAGATGCAGCTGGTATAGGGCCCGCAGTTGGTGTGGGGCCCAAGCCAGCCCTTCCCCTCTTTGCCCACCTCTGATACTGACCTGTCCCATGCTAGCTCCTCCAATGACACCCTCTCCCCTCTCCCTAGGCCTGTGCTCATTTCCCCTCTCTCATCCCAGAGTCTGCAGAAGCAGGAGGTAAAGAACTTGCACCAGCGGCTAGAGGGGCAGCGGCCAGAGAACAAGGGCAAGAACCGTTACAAGAACATTCTCCCCTGTGAGCACCCAGGTCACCCCATCCCCCCCTCCAGGCTACTTCCGTTCAGCTGGGAGATGACCCGTGCTCCAGCCCACCTCCCCACCACCCACAGGCAGTCTGCCCTGCTTCTCTGGCCTTCTTGTGAATCTTTTGCCTCCCGCTCCATACAGCCCCCTTCCCCTGCTGCCCACAGTCCTCTGTGAGCCTCATGGCTTTCAAGACCTGAATGGATTGTCTGCTCAGAAAGGGTCTGCCCTAGAGGTGGGGAGGCCCTGGCTGACCCAGGCCATCTTGCTTCCTCTCTCCGTCCACTCCCAGTTGACCACAGCCGAGTAATCCTGCAGGGACGTGACAGTAACATTCCTGGGTCAGACTACATCAATGCCAACTATGTCAAGGTCTGTAGTATGGGTCCCACGGGAGGAGGGGTAGGGCCTTGGGAATTCCCTGTCTTACAGGGGACCCTAGATTCAGGAGATACCTGAGCAAAGCTGAAGAGGGCACCTTGGGTGGATGGCAGTGGTGCAGTGCCCACCCCAGGTCAAGGTCTCACTGTCCTGGGGTGTGTCTTTCTGTGCTTGCCTCCAGAACCAGCTGCTAGGCCCTGATGAGAACACTAAGACTTACATCGCCAGCCAGGGCTGTCTGGAGGCCACAGTCAATGACTTCTGGCAGATGGTGTGGCAAGAGAACACCCGTGTCATAGTCATGACCACCCGAGAGGTGGAGAAAGGCCGGGTAAGGCCAAGCTCTGCACCACCCTGATTGCCTTGCCTCCCCATTACTTGCTGTTAACCACTATTAAGCCCAAGAAACCTAAGATACCAGGGCAGAAAGGAGTCTCAGAGGGCACAGGCCCAACCTTTGTTGCAAAAGCGGGAAAGTGAGGACTATAGACAGAGTTTCTACATGCTGTAACTCCCAGATCCCTGCTTCCAAGCTGGGCTCTCCTGAGCTCCAAACCCAAGTTTTTTGTTTTTGCTTTTTTTTTTGAGACAGAATTTCACTATGTTGTCCTTAGTAGAGTACTGTGCTGTTACAGTTCACAACAACCTCAAACTCTTGGATGTAAATGATTCTCTTGCCTCAGCTTCCCAAGTAGCTGGGACTACAGGCGCCTGCCACAATGCCCAGGTTATTTTTTGGTTCCAGTTGTCATTGTTGCTTAGCAGACCAAGGCCAGAGTCGAACTGGCCATCCTAGGTGTATGTGGCTGGCGCCCTTGCTAAGGGTGAGTGCTGAGCGACAGGTGCCTCCCTCAAACTCAAGGGTTTTTTTTTTTTGAGACAGAATCTCACTTTGTTGCCCTTGGTAGAGTGCTGTAGTGTCACAGCTCACAGCAGCCTCCAATTCTTGGGCTCAAGCGATTGAGGAGGCCTCAGGTGCCTTTGTCTACCTGCGGCATAGGTAGACATGCATTAGAACCTCACAACTGGGGTTGGCTTAGGAGGAAGCCAAATTCTCTTGCCTCAGCCTCCCAAGTAGCTAGGACTATAGGCACCTGCCACACGCCTGTTTTTTGTTGCAATTCTCAGTGCTGTTTTAGCTGGCTGGGGCTGGGTTCGAACCTGCCACCCTTGGTAAATGGGACCGGTCCCCTACCCACTGAGCCACAAGCGCTGCCCTAAACTCAAATTTTAAAACCAACCTTCTTCCAGGGCGGGCATGGTGGCTTTCACCTGTAATCCCAGCACTTGGGAGGCCGAGGCAGGTGGATTGCTTGAGCTCACAAGTTCAAGACCAGCCTGAGCCAGAGCGAGACCCCATCGCTAAAAATAGCCAGGCCTGATGGCAGGCATCTATAGTCTCAGCTACTCAGGAGGGTGACACAAGAGAATCGCCTGAGCCCAGGAGTTTGAGGTTGCTGTGAGCTGTGATGCCACAGCACTCTACTGAGCGGGACAAAGTGAGACTCTGTCTCAAAAAAAAGCCAAAACAAAAGAGACAAACTGGCTCTGCGCCTATAGCTCAACCGGCTAAGGCGCCAGCCACGTACACCTAAGGTGGCAGGTTCGAATCCCCAGCCCGGACCCGCTAAAACAACAATGATGGTTGCAACCAAAAAATAGCCGGGCGTTGTGGTGGGCGCCTGTGGTCCCAGCTACTTGGGAGGCACAGGCAGGAGACTCGCTAGAGCCCAGGAGTTGGAGGTTGCTGTGAGCTGTAATGCCACGGCACTCTACCCAGGGGGACAGCTTGAGGCTCTGTCTCAAAAAAAAAAAAAAAAGCAAATGTTTCTCCTGCCCCCTTCTCCACCTGCTCCTATCCCGGCTCCCTCCTGTCCTCCCTGCTCATAAGTGTCTCTGGAGTCTGCCCCTCCCCTGGACCCTCTCCCTCTACAGTACCCTCTGCACTGTAGTCAAAGTGACCCTGTCTGAAGCACACACAGGATCACGTTGCTCCCTCTCGGGAAACACTTCAATGGCTTCCAGTTACCTTTGGGATAAATCACACCCTAAGAGTTGGCATTTAAGGCTTCTAGTAGGCCAGACTTGTTCAGGTTCCATGCCTTTCTCTACCCAAGCTCATTTTCTGATAGGAAATGACTTTCTCTGTCCACACTATCGCTGCCTGGCAGAATCCACATTTTTGCAGACCTAGTTCAAATACTGCTTCCATTGTGAAGCCATCTCTGATTTCATCTGTAACCTAGAGGGAGCATAGCCTTTTTCTCCGTCATGCTCTTGTATGTGCACAGTCCGTGTTTCCTGCTTACCTGTTTCTCTGTGACCTCCTAGAGGAGCAGGGGCATAGCCTGGGCCTGGGTCTGATTTGTGTTGATAAATCAGCCCGGTTTGCATAGTGTCAGTTCATGTTTATGGAATGAATTGTAAGATGGAGTGGTTGGTCTCATCACATGTTGGTGGCTGATCCAAGACCGGATCCCAGGTCTCTGGATCCTCAGCCAGCTCATCCATTCATCTGACAAATGTTTAGGGCAACACCAGGGACCCCAGACCTGCATCTGTGCCTCATTCCCCCACCTCCACCCTCCCTTTTCAGAATAAATGTGTCCCATACTGGCCAGAGGTGGGTACACAGCGTGTTTACGGACTCTACTCTGTGACCAACTGTGGGGAGCATGACACAGCTGAGTACAAACTCCGTACCTTGCAGGTCTCCCCACTGGACAACGTGAGTGTCCCCACTCTCTGCCTCACTCCCGCATCCCCAGATCCCCTCTTGGATTGGACTCGTGTTCTTGTCTGGTTGGTGGGACAAGGCAGGATGGGTGTTATGTGGGAGCAAGGGGCACTGACTCTGTGTCCTCGGCCCAGGGGGACCTGGTTCGGGAGATCTGGCACTACCAGTATCTGAGCTGGCCTGACCATGGGGTCCCTAGTGAGCCTGGAGGTGTCCTCAGCTTCCTGGACCAGATCAACCAGCGGCAAGAAAGTCTGCCTCATGCAGGACCCATCATCGTGCACTGCAGGTAAGAATAATAATCATGGGTGGTGCCTGTGGCTCAGAGGAGTAGGGCGCCAACCCCATATGCCGGAGGTGGTGGGTTCAAACCCAGCCCCGGCCAAAAACTGCAAAAAAACAAAGAATAATAATCGTGACATTAGTAGTGATAATAAAAATGACAGCTGAGAAATAAATGCAGCCTAGTGCCCTGTGTTGCTATAAGCAGCTAATGTATTAACTAGATTAATTACCCCTCCCCAGCCTCTTCTGAGACCCCTTGTGGCTCCAGACTGCTGGGTGGAGCTTCACTGGAACCAGCCCTCCTGTTGGCTCTTTGCCTAGGAGTGTGTCCTTGAGTGCTTTCCTGAATTTAATCCAACCATGCCAAACACAGATGAGGAATGGAGACCCAGCCATTGGCCAGGTCACCAGCTAGTACAGGGAGGAGAGGCTGAACTGGCATTCATAAGAGATCTGGTCCTGGCTGCCCTGTCTTCTCTCAGGTCCCATGCAGCCGGTTTCTTTTCAGCCCCCAGGACCTTTACCTGCCCAACCCTCTTCTTCCCTGCCTGTAGCCCTGGGGTTCTTAGGCTTCTTCTGTGTTCCCCTCTCTCTCCCCCCTTCCTAGCCATGTCCTGTTACATGGTCACCAGGATTGTATAGGGACAGTGCTGTCTTTGAGAGGGGCACATGTACCCTCAGCATGTGTACCTCTGGAGACCCTTACATTCATGACCAGAAGACCCTGTGTGCGGTGGAGGGTGGGGCAACAGTAAAGAGTAGCAGAGGTATCCCAGATGAGCTGCCACCACTGGCCTGGCTGGGTAGATAGGAGGCAGTGGGTGCAGACTCTCACGTGAGGCTGTGCATTTAAATTCCAGTGTCACCACTCACCAGCTCTGGGACTTTGGACAAATTACCTAACTTTTAGGCTAGGTGTGGTGGCTCATTCCTGTAATCCCAGCACGTTGGGAGGGTAAGGTAGGAGGATTGCCTGAGGCAAGGAGTTTGAGATCTCATCTCTAAAAAAAAAAAAAATTAGTGGGGTGTGGTGGCGTGTGCCTATATAGTTTCAGCTACTTGGGAGGCTGAAGCAGGAGGATTGCTTGAGCCCAGGAATTTGAGGCTATAGTGAGCTATGATGGTAGCACTGCACTCCAGCCTGGGCAACAGAGTGAGACCTGTCTTTTTTTTTTTTTGAGACGGAGCCTCAAGCTATCCCCCTGGGTAGAGTGCCATGGCATCAGGCTCACAGCAACCTCTAACTCCTGGGTTCAAGCGAGTCTCCTGCCTCCGCCTCCCAAGTAGCTGGGACCACAGGCGCCCGCCACAGCGCCCAGCCATTTTTTGGTTGCAGCCATCGTTGTTGTTTGGCGGGTCCGGGCTGGGGATCCGAACCCGCCACCTTAGGTGTATGTGGCTGGCGCCTTAGCCACTTGAGCCACAGGCGCTGAGCCTGTCTTTTTTTTTTAAGAGACAGAGTCTCACTTTATTGCCCTGGGTAGAGTACTGTGGCGTCACAGCACACAGCAACCTCCAACTTATGGGCTTAGGGGCAATTCTCTTGCCTTAGTCTCCTGAGTAGCTGCGACTACAATGCCCAGCTATTTTTTTGTTGTAGTTTGGCTGGGGCCGGGTTTGAACCTGTCACCCTTGGTATATGGGGCTGGCTCCCTACCCACTGAGCCACAGGCACTGCTGGAGACTCTGAGAAAAAAGTATGGGCATGGTGGCTCACGCCTGTAATCTTAGCACTCAGGGAGGCCAAGGCAGGTGGATTGCTTGAGCTTACGAGTTCAGGTGGGTGGATTGCTTTAGCTCTCGAGTTCGTGAGTAGCCTGAGCAAAAGTGAGACCCCAGCTCTACTAAAAATAGAAAAACTGGCTGCATGACTGTAGCTCAGCAGCCAGGGCACCAGCCACATATATTGGAGCTGGCAGGCTCTAATCCAGCCCGGGTTTGCCGAACAACAATAACTATAACCAAAAAATAGCTGGGCATTGTGGTGGACTTGGGAGGCTGTGGCAGGAGAATTGCTTAAGCCTAGGAATTTGAGGTTACTCTGAGTTGTGACGCCATGGCACTCTACCCGGGGTGACATAGTGAGATTCTGTCTCAAAAAAAAAAAAAAAAAAAGGAAAAGGAAAAAAAGTTACTTCTCTGACTCTCACCTTCCTTGTGTGTAACACTAGAATTTCGTAGGGTTGTCGTGAGGATTAAACTATCTTTCACTGTGTCTGGAATACTTTAAACCCCCAAAAGGTGGGGGTTGCTGATGCTTTTTTTTGTGTGTGAGACAGAGTCTCAAGCTGTCACCCTGGGTAGAGTGCTGTGGTATCATAGCTAACAGCAACTTCCAACTCTGGGGCTCAAGCAATCCTCCTGCTTTGGTTTTTCTATTTTTAGTAGAGATGAGGTCTTGCTTTTTGCTCAGGCTGGTCTCGAACTTGTGAGCTCAAGCAATCCACCCGCCTTGGCCTCCCAGAGTTCTAGGATTACAGGCGTGAGCCACCACACCCAGCCTGCTGATGCTTTGGTAGATTGCAGCAGCCCTGTCCTCTTGCTTTCCCATTCCTTGTGACCCAGGCCTGTGAGGGCCAGACTTCCTCCTTCTCACTCTAGGAACTATCTGTCCAGGGGCAGAGCTGGGTGGGCTGAATCTGTAGGTGCCCCCACATGCTGCCTTGGGTACCTAGATCTGACCTCTGCCCTCCCAGGGATAGACCTATCCCCCAAAACTACCCTCCGGCTGCCCACCCCCCACCCCTACCATATACACATTCACATACTTCTTGAAAGCCCCATGGCCTTTATTTAGAAGTCACAGGAAGGAAGTGGGTGATGGGGGGGTTATTTTTGACAATCTGGGTTTGAAATTAGACGGTGTGACTTAGGGCACTGGCCTGGTAGGCCCAGTCAAGGGCAGGACTGGGTACCTTGTGGGGTCTTTCTGGTAGAGGGTGGGGAAGAAGAGAGACTTCCCACCGCCCTGCTCTTGTATGCCCCTGCTTCCTGCTGTCTCAGTGCTGCCCTTGCCCTGCCAGGCTTTAGAGGAAAAGGGAAATGAGGTCTTGCAGAAAGAAGCTCCTAATGCAACTCTTGGAGGGAGGGATGGGGGAGGGCCCAGAGAGACAATAGGACAGTGTAGGATTTGGGGGTGCCAGATCTTCCAGGGTAGAGGGCAGCCTTTCATGAGAAAGGAGTTAGGAAGTGGAGAAGGGTAGTGCTGGGAGGAAGGGGAATGGTGGAGGTATCTGCAGGGTCCAGGTCAGCAACTCAGAGCCAGGCCCTTCCCATGAGTCCCTCGGCTGAAGTGGGGAGCACCAGTGCAGAACTGGATGTACTCCTGCCCTCTCATGCCCAGTGACTCAGGGCACATTCCCTCATGTGGCTGGAGAGTCAGGCTCCTCACACTGTGCCCAGGGCTGGAGCTGAGCACAGGGGCCCTCTACCGGTGAAGGGTCGTCTGGGCCTCTGATGGTGTCCCCTTCTCTCCCCAGCGCGGGCATTGGCCGCACAGGCACCATCATTGTCATTGACATGCTCATGGAGAACATCTCTACCAAGGGTGAGGATTACCTGGGGGGGAAATGGGGGGGTGGGCATGTGAGCAGCCCCTCCACATCCACCCCTGCCTGAGCCTGAGGTCTGATTACCACACTTACCAGGGCTGGACTGTGACATTGACATCCAGAAAACGATCCAGATGGTGCGGGCACAGCGCTCAGGCATGGTGCAGACAGAGGCGCAATACAAGTTCATCTACGTGGCCATCGCTCAGTTCATCGAGACCACCAAGAAGAAGCTGGAGGTGATGCAGGTACATGCAGAGCAGGGCCTGGGGGGGGGGACTGCAGTGGGGAGTGGGCATCATCTGGGCCTGCTGAGACCACTGTCCTCCCACTACATCTCTGCTCACAGTCACAGAAGGGCCAGGAATCGGAGTATGGGAACATCACCTATCCCCCGGCCATGAAGAATGCCCATGCCAAAGCCTCCCGCACCTCCTCCAGGTGAGTGGCCCCTGCTGGCCACCTCCCTGCATCTGCCCTCTCTCTTGCCTGACCCAATCCTCCCTTTCTGGAGAGGATGTGTTGCAGCTTGGGAGATCTGGGTTCAAGTTCAAGCTTGGTTCTCACTACCTTTGTTCATAAGTATTTTCTTTTCTTTTTTTATTGTTTTTGAGAAAGAGTCTCACTTGGTCACCCTTGGCAGAGTGCCATGACATCTTAGCTGACAGCAACCTCAAATTTTTAGGTTCAAGTGATTCTCTCTCTTTTTTTTTTTTTTAGAGACTGAGTCTCACTTTGTTGCCCTTGGTAGAGTGCTGTGACGTCACAGCTTACAGCAACCTCCAGCTCTTGGGTTTAGGCGAGTCTCTTGCTTCAGTCTCCCAAGTAGCTGGGATTACAGGCGCCTGCCACAATGCCTGGCTTTTTTTTGTTGCAGTTTGGCGGGGCAGGGTTTGAACCTGCCATCCTCGGTGTATAGAGTTGGCGCCCTACTCACTGAGCCACAGGCCACCCATCAAGTGATTCTCTTGCCTCAGCCTCCCAGGTAGCTGGGACTACAGGTGCCTGCCACAGCACCCAGCTATTTTTTTTCCCCACAGTTTTTGGCTGGGTTTGAACCTACCACCTCCGGCATATGGGGCTAACGCCCTACTTCTTGGAGCCATAGGCACCACCCACACCCGGCTATTTTTTAGAGATAAGGTCTCACTCTTGCTCAGGTTGGTCTCGAACTTGTGAGCTCAGGCAATCCACCCACCTCAGCCTCCCAAGTGGTGGGATTACAGGCGTGAGCCACCAGGCCCAGCCATAAGTATTTTCTGAGTGCCCATGACATGTAAGCTTGAGCTAGGTCCTAATGGTACCAATGTATGGGCAGCAGCCTCTGCCCTCAAGGAGCTCTGTGTCTAGTGTAGGGACAGTGACCAAGGGAGACGGGGTGGCCTAGAGGGGCTGCCAGAGCTGGGTCACCCTGCACTGTCTGCTGACCTGTACCAAGTGCCTGCATTTGCCTATCCCCACCCACAGACACAAGGAGGATGTGTATGAGAACCTGCACAGTAAGAGCAAAAAGGAGGAGAAAGTGAAGAAGCAGCGGTCAGCAGACAAGGAGAAGGGCAAGGGTTCCCTCAAGAGGAAGTGAGCTGGATACTGTCCTGAGCAGCCATGGTACGGCCCCTTCTACTGGCCTGCTCCAGCATGCTCTGGCTCTAGTGCTTTCCCCTGGATGGATGGGGTGGCTGCAGCCTCACCCTATCCTTCCCATCTGCTCCCAGAGCTGCTTCTTGTCCCCTTTCTAGGCTGTAGCCACCCTCTTACTCCTTCACTCCGTTCTCTCTACAGCCTTGGCGGGCAGCGTTGATCCTGTAGAGGGCTCCAGTGGACCCACCCACCGCTGGAACTTTGGATCCCCCTTTTTATTGTAATTTAAACGGTCATGCCCCCCAACCCTGTATATAGCCCAGCAGGCTGAGCCAGGTCCTTCTACTCTTGTAAATAAAGCTCCTGGGATCACTGCAAGTGTCTCAAACTCCGAGTGCCTTGGGGGGTGGTCTGGAGATTGGCTTCTTGAATATGTGCGGACTCATGAAAGCTCAGTCTTTAAGGTCAGGTACTTCATTGCCGACTCTGACTCTGCTTCACACACAGGAGTGTGACTGTGGGGAAGCTTCCTTTGTCTCTCTCTTTTTTCTTTCTTTTCTCCCTTTCCTTCCCTTTTCTTTCTTTTCTTGACAGAGTCTTACTTTGTTACCCTTGGTAGAGTGCTATGGCATCATAGCTCACAGCAACCTCAAACTCTTGGGCTCAAGCGATTCTCTTGCCTCAACCTCCTGAGTAGTTGGGACTACAGGAGCTCACCACCACGGCTGGCTTTTTTTTTTTTTTAAGTCTTGTCTCAAGACTTGGCTCAAGCGGCTAAGGCGCCAGCCACATACACCTAAGGTGGCAGGTTTGAATCCAGCCCAGGCCCGCCAAACAACAATAATGGCTGCAACCAAAAAATAGCCAGGAGTTGTGGCGGGCGCCTGTGGTCCCAGCGACTTGGGAGGCTGAGACAG